ACCTCCGACCCCCCCACACACACACCACCCACCCACCAGTCCTCCTTCCCCTGGCATGCGCACCTGTGCATTGTAGTACGGCATCCCTTGCGCACCTTTTTGCCATCTCTGCCTGTTTCCTCGTTCGCCTTGCATTTTAGTTAGGTTGCGGCGCTCACGTGTGTTCCTGCTTTTCTCCCGCCCTCGCATGTTCCTCTTCTTGCCGTCGGTTGTTGACACTGGTTGCTGGCTGCCGGATGCTTTCGTTCCTGCCTGCAGGTCAGTCTCCGGTAACATCCGCACATAGTGGTCTTGCACTTGCTTTGCCTGTCTTGTTTTGCTCGCGCATGCACTGCGACGTCTCGGCATGCTCCCCTGTTTTGCAACCTGTTCAGCGGCAGTTCCAGCCTATCTACCTACCTACTATCCTCGATACTGTCAGCTACTACATACATATCAACTTACTACTACGGGCCTTAGGTCCGGTCGTTTTACGAGAGTGCTTCTTACGTCCTACTTATTCTCAGCACCAGTACTGGACTTCTATATCTACATACGCTACAATGTTCCTCGGCTCCTGCGGCGGTTCTGTGGGGACTTCATCTTCCGACAATCACAGTATGTTCCTACTCGCGGCCAGTTTTCTTAACACACCCCACCCACCCCCACCCTCCCAGGAGAAGTGCGGAGCCACCACCCTGCTCGACATCGCCACCCTCACGGGCGCCTGCATGGTGGCGCTGGGCCCCTCCGTGGCGGGGCTGCTGACCCCCTCGGAGGGGCTGGCGGAGCAGATACGGCAGGCGGCCAGGGCGGCAGGTGGGGGGGAAGGGGGCGGGGGCTGGGGTGGGGATGAGTTGGGGTGCGTGACCCACGGGTCAGCTACCCGGTGGTGGAGATCGGTAGCGATGAGGGCCCTGCGGTCCTGTTGTTACTGAGGTTCGGTAATAATAATGATAATGGGGACAACGCCGATCATGTTCACCGCCATCATCGCCGTGAGGTAGGAAAGATCCAATGATACGGACGCTCTTCCCCTTCCACCTCGCACCCCGCCCCCTTTCCCTGTTGTTGCACTTATTTATAATTTTCCCCCTTTCCCTCTCCCCTCCTCCTATAATCCCGCCAAATGCGTAATTTCCGACCTCTATTTTCCCCCTCCCCCAGGCGAGCGTGTGTGGCGGCTGCCTCTGGAGGAGGAGTACTTCGAGGGTCTCAAGTCCCCGGTGGCGGACCTGCGCAACACAGCGGGGCGGCTGGGCGGCACCATCACCGCCGCGCTGTTCCTGAAGCAGTTCGTGAAGGAGGGGGTGGAGTGGGCGCACCTGGACGTGGCGGGTGAGGGGGGGGGGGGAGGGTCAAAGACCATACCAAAAAGAGAAGATGACATAGGAAACTGACGAACTGTACGACGAGGCTTCACCATGGGAGGCAGGGAGGAGGAGGGAGGGGGGGAGGAGAGGGAAGGGAAGGGGTTGGAAAGCGGGGCCGTATTACCTAAAAAGCGTCAGTGAAGAAAGGAGGATTGCCACTGTATTCTTCCTGCTCCCTGATTTCTTCGGAGGTGGGAAGGTAAGGGCTGTTTCTGGGTGAGGGATAACCGCCTAATCTAGCCCCGTCTAATACCCGCTCCGTCTCCGTCCTCCTCCACCCCTCCTCCCGCCCCCTCCTCCCGCCCAGGTCCCGTATGGAGTGAGAAGCAGGGGCTGCCCACCGGCTTCGGAGCCGCACTGCTGGCGGAGTGGGCGCTGGCACAGGCGAGGGAGGCGGGGGCTGCTGCACCGGTGGTGAATGGGAAGTGAGGGAGGCCCTGCTGATGCTGTTAGTTGATTGCCGCTATTGCTGTGCTGGTCGCATGTTTCCGCCCTAACAGTGCGGGTGCCCTAGCAGTAACGGGTGCTGAGAAGTGAAGAAGGCAAGGTGGGCAAGGTGTGAACAGCGCAGATGCGCGCGTGCCGAGGAGAGTCGTGTGGTGAAGAGTGAAGTGTGGTGGACATGGGTATGCGGTATACTCCAGCATATTGTGTTGGAAACTTCTGGGACCTCTGGGGGAAACTTTGGGGACTTGTCTCCCGACGGTAAGGTGTGAACGTGAATGGGAGTGGGAATGGAATGCGAGATGCGCGCACTTTGCTCTCATGCCGGTATATATATGTGATGTTCCGGCCATGACGCTATGACGTGCGAGGGAGGAAGGGACAAAGCGAGCACCAGCGCAGGTGGGAGGGTGACCCATGGGACAAGAGGTGTGTGGTTTGGCAGTAAGGAAGCGACGAATCCAGGCGCATTGTGATACGTTGAAGTGCTCCGCCTTTGCATCACTTCCGTGATCTGCATGAGCCCTCAACCCCCTCTCCCTTCCGCGCGCGCAAGCTCACTGGAATCACACACGCCACAGACGCACGCAAACAATGCCGGACTGCCGGCCAGTTTACTTAAACACACAAAGGAGAGGATGCACAGCACTGCAAAAGCACGCGAGAACACATGTACCGGTGTACGTTCAGCAATGCGACCCTCACCACCGCCTCTCCGGCGGTGGTGTGACCTGCGGAAAGCGATGCGGGTGGCTCGACACAGCATCACCCCTTGCTCGCCCGCCCTTGCTTGCGCGCTTACCCCAACCAACCCCTCCTGCCACTCCAGCCGCTTCTCATCCTCCCAGCCCGCTACTCTTCTTCTTCAGGCTCACACCTCCATGCCTCCAACCTTCCTCGTTGCCTCCTCTCAGGGCCTTCATTGCAAACACGACACACAAAACCTCAGCATCTTCCCTTCCTCCTCTTCTCCCCCCTCCTCCTTCCTTCATTGCTCCCTCCTCCACCCTAGGTGGTGTACTCGGCGTTGATCTTCACGTAGTCGTACGACAGGTCGCAGCCCCAAGCCATGCCCCGCCCCGGCCCCTTGCCCACCCGCACGCCGATCTGCACGGTGCCGTGCACCGCGCAGGTGTCCTTCAGGTACTTGTTGGCTGCGGCCTTGTCGAAGGGCAGCGGCTGTCCCGCCTCCATGAGCTGCATGGAGCCCAGCCGCACACCCAGCTCAGCCTGGTCGAAGATAATGCCTGGGGGGAGGGATGGGAGGCGGGGAGGGGGAAGGGGTGAATGAAGGGGGGAAAATGGGAGTTTGGGCGGGTTACAGGGGGGTCACAACTTGGGGAGAGAGGGGAGTTAGACAGGTGTGGGTAAGTTTCAGTTCAATTGAGTTCAGCTGAAACGGCACAGTGGTGGTCTCGGTACCAGGGTGTACAGTGTGTCAGGGAGTTGGCAGGGAGCGCTACCCACAACACCCCTGAAGCCCCCTCCCTCCTCCCCTCTCCCCACCCGAGTATCCCGCAGCCGCCGCGATGCGACCCCAGTTGGGGTCGTGTCCGAAGATGGCCGACTTGGCCAGCGAGGAGCCGGCCACGGAGCGAGCGATCACCCGCGCGTCGGCGTCACTCTGGGCGCCAACAACCTGGGGGGTTGGGGGGTGGTTGGGGCGGGTGGTTGGGGTGGTTAGGGGTTAAAAACCGTAGTGACAGAGGGCGGAGTGACAGAGGGTGGCATGTGCATGACATGCATGCCCCATGCTCCTACCCCAGTTCCCGGCCTTTCCTTAATGCGCACCGCTCTCCATGACAGTGTCCCTATCCCCCACACCCACACCCACACCGCTGACCCCCCTGCGCCCCCCCTGGCCTCCCCCCCCACCTCAATCTCCACCAGGCAGGTGGCGCCCTCGCCGTCCCAAGCAATGGACTTGGCAAGACCCTGACGGAGGGGGAAGGGGAGGGAAGTGGAGGACAAAGAGGAAACACCTTATACAACGACATATGATGTGCAGTAAAGCAACTGATTACAGTGTGGTGTGTATGGGGCCCGGGAGAGTAAGCAGCGGCAGTTAGAGCAGCTGCTCGTCAGTTTCCAGCTTCCCCCCCCCCTTCCCCTCCTCCCCCCCCTGTACCTGCATGAGCGCCGTCACCGCCCCCTCCAGCAGCGCCGCATCCGGCGAGGCGGGGTCGGCGATGCGCGGGTTGCCGGCTGCACCGCTGGCCAGCCCGATGACGCAGTCGTTGGTGGAGGTGTCGCCATCCACCGTGATCTGAGGGGTGGTGGGAGTGAGGAAAAGGAGGACCAGACAAACTGAACCGCGAGGGGTAAGGGCGGGGGGAGGGAAGAAGGAGACCAAGGGAGTGGGTGGGGTAGGTGAAAGAGGGGACTGAGATGAAGCTAGGGCTCGCGTCCATGCTCGTGTGCATGCATGCATGCATGGAACTGCTCTCAATGGCCGGCTTTCACCCGTTCCCTTCACCCAACCCCTCAGCACATGGGTCTTCTTCCTCCTTACCACCCCCACACTCCTTCCCCTCCTATCTCCATTGCTTTGCCCTAACCTGCGGTCTTGGTATATCTCTGACCCCTCCCCCCCCCCCACATGCCTTACTAGTGTTCATATGCAAGGCGGCTTCTTCCCCAAGTCATCTCGGTTTCTGGTAAGCAATTGGTAAGTCTCTGAGATGCGTGTTTCTAGATTAGTGTCTCCGAATGCGCTCACTGCATGAGTCGGGATTCGGGATTGGGATTGTGTTGTTGCACTTTTCCCCCCTCCCCCCTCACCGCATTGAACGACGCCACCGCCGCCCGCTTCACGATGCCGCTCCACACGCCCGCCTCCACCTCCGCGTCGCACGTCACCACCCCCAGCATGGTGGCCATGTTGGGGTGGATCATGCCGCTGCCCTTGCACATGCCGCCCACCGTCACGACAGCGCCGCTGCCGGGCAGGGTGACGCGGAGGGCGGCCTCCTTGCTAACCAGGTCTGCATGGGTGGGGGGGCGGAGGAGGTACGAATGGCGAGGTGTGGTAAGCTGCGTTGCCCTCCTAACCTGGGTGGTTGTGGTACATCTTTACCGCACCTCCCCCACCCATTGTATCGCGTGTCTTCGTATGCGGTCACTGCATGTGTTTTTGAGTTATGGGCTTGAGGAGGACTCCCGTTCCTTCACGTTTCATTTCTTTTCCCCTCCTACCCCCCTCCTGCCCCCGCCCCACCCGTGGTGGTGATCGCCACCGCCGCCCGGTGCGCGTCCTCGCCGCTGCCGCCCAGCGTGCCCACCACCTGCGGGATGGCGGGCAGGAAGGACTCCATCTTCATGCGCCGACCGATCACACCTGGGGCAGCGCATGGGAGCAAGCGCGGGGGGGGAGGGAATGGCCGTGAGTTAGAGCAACCAACGACGACGACACGATGATGACGACACACGTGTCACGTGTGACATGCATGCAGTGGTGGTGCCCTTCCCCCCTCCCCCCCCCCTCCCCCTCCCCCCTCCCCCCTCCCCCCCACCGGTGGACTGCAGCAGGATGTCATCCGTGCTCACACCCAGCGCCTGGGCCAGCGCGGTGGCGGTGGCAACCGCGTCCTCGTAGCCCTGGGGACGTGGGGAGGGGGAGGGGAATGGGGAGGGGGGTAGCGGGTTCATGTGGTTACACATTGTGTTGCTGTGACGGCTAGGAACAAGGGTGGCGCTCGCTTGGGTGGGTGGGTGGGTGGGTGGGTGGGTGGGTGTGGAGCATGTATGGCCTACATGACGCCTGAGCTGCGGTGTACAACCAGGGGGGCGGGGAGCGAGGCGAGTTCTAACTTCCTATGTCCCTTCATACCCCAGCAACCCCACCCCACAAACCCCCCAGCCCACCCCAGCACCCCACCCCCCCATCCCAGCCAGCCCCGTCAGCCCAGCCCACCTGGGTGCCGGTGGCGGCGTTGGCCTGACCCGCGTTGGTCATCACCTGAGCGGCGGGAAAGGAAAGAAGAGGAGGTGAGGAGGAGGTGAGGAGGAGGAGAGGAGGTGAGGAGGAGAGGGCCGGGCAGTGGCATCAGCAACTGGCGCACGTGAGAACGGGTGTAGAGCACGGATGACGCCGCAGGACCAACCCCGACCTCGGCCTCTGCTTTCCTTCTTCTCCCCCATCTTGTCCTACCCACCACCGCCAGTACCACCCTCTCCTTCCACCACATCACCCCACCCCACCCCACACCCCCCTCCTCCTCACCGCCCGTACGGCACTCCTGCGGCTGAGCACGTCCTTGCAGTACAGCACGGGCGCCGCGCACATGACGTTCGTGGTGAAGGTGCCGGCGGCGGTGGCGGGCGCGTCAGCAACCACCAGAGCCAGGTCAGCCTTCTTGCCGGAAGCGCGGAGACCCGCATGCACGCCTGGGCAGGAGGCCGGGAAGGGAGGGAGGGAGGGAGGGGGGTGACGCAACAGTTATTAAGGATAGCGGTAAGCGTCGGAGGTGAAGAGAACCCAAACCGATTGCGGTGAAGGCAAGAAGAGGGTGGAAACGGGATAGCATCGAAGGGCCTGGACGAGCATGAACGCTGAGTGCGTCGCCTTAGGGTTTAGGATGACATGTGCATGGCATATAAGTAATGCATGGAAACGATAAACAGAATTTGATCTATGTTATATGCACGTCATGCAAGTTCTCTTTGCCTTATGGTACCTGTGGCCTTGAAGCCCTTGGCCGCGCAAACGCCGCCCTCCACCTTGCTCCATGGACCATCCGGAATCAAATCCGGAGCAGCAGGAATTGTGTAGCACTCCTTGTCCATGAGGATGGCACGGGTGCGGCAAGCCTGCAAGGAATGGCATGGCGTGATGGTGATGGAACGTGGCACGTGCTTTCGCTTTCTCACATAATGGCCTATACCTTGCGCGCCACATTCCTGACAGTGAAGTTGTTGACGAACGGCGCCCGGCCTGCAAGGCGTCGGAGCTGTGTGAGCACCTTCGCATGTTACTAGTCGGGTGACATAGTCTTACCGTGGGCCAAAGCTCGCTGCTGTGCCAACATCCTTGAGGCTTAATGGACAGGGGCCCAGTACCACTGAACGAACTGTCCTAAACAAACTTGGAAATAGATCAGACGGAAGCTTACGGCGATCGTACTCAGTCACTACTTTCGCAGCGGGGAAAGACGCTCCTCCCAAACGCTCAATGATAAGAGCGAGGTGTGACCTTTTGGGTCTCAGCAAGACAGGAATAGCTGTGCTCGTAAACGCGGGTCACTGGTATCCTATACCGGTAACCCCGCATTGCCAACTTTTCGTTGAATGCCAGGGTTCTATGCATGGGTTATTGATCTCCACTCCGCAACTTCTGAATATGTAAAATCAGTTTACATATCCAACTGCTCGCCATCGGAGCGGGCCGGCTGAACCGAGGGGTTCGGTCATGCATGTCAAACATGGCGAAGCCTTTGCTGCTTGCCAAGGTCTTGCTCCTTATGTTCTGAAGGGAGCTTGTGATATGTTAGCAAGGGAGACCTGGTATCTTGCTCCGTACTATATCCCGTTCCTGCAACGTCGTGTAGTGCAGCTTTATGTCCGTGTCACATTTCACAGTAGTCGCCGTGGGGGTCAAGATCTGCTGGACGGGAGTGCTTTTCACACGTTACGCCACCCAATAGGAATGTTGACGGACTTGGGGGTATACATTGACCAGTCCTTGCCGGCTGTCAGCAGCTCCAGCCAATACCGCAGGTGCCTGCCGTACCCGCACGGCGCCCTTGGTCTTTACCAGCCGCACGGGAATCTCCAACTTCTCTTAGCCTGGCCTTACCCTTTTCGCAACGTACTTGGCGCCCTGGCATGCTGGTCCAGTAGCCAGCGTGGACAGGGGAACAGGACAAGGGTCAAGGGCTAGAGGCAGGGATGTGGTATGCCAGCGAGGAGGCCGTGGCTACCACAATGGTATCATGTAACTCAGAACAAAGGGACTGCCCGGGCGGTCCGTGTTTAGGTGCAGGCTGCAGGCCTGATGAGATCTCACAGGGGTTCCTGTGCTCGGCAGCGCCCAGGGCAAAAAATACTGAATCTCGGTTTGCCCGTGCTAGTGCCACCGGGGTGATACCAGAGGTGTGACGTGGCAGGGGTGGCACGGCAGCTCTGTGTGACTAGACCTTTCAGCACGTCACTTGAGGAGACGGCGGACTGGGGTTTGGGGTAATAACTTCATTGTGTGCGGTGCAGCCGTACAATCCAAAATTCGGCAGTAAGCCAACGACAAGCTCTTGTTCCAGTGACCTCGGCACGTACTTTTTGCCAATTTATGCTCATAATCATGAACCGACGATGACGAGGCGGGATGCTAATTTTCAACAATACGTCATTTTAGGAACAATTCTGCCCCGGCGCCGGTGCTCCAATGTCGTAGGAAATTCTATTGCTTTAGTTTTGCATCCTGAGAACCAAATTGCTCTGGGTGTTGCAGCGCGCTCGCCACAGGAGGAGACCAGAGAGGGGCTTCAACGCGGAAGCGTCCACAAGCCGCAAGCCAACGTTCAGCAGTGTTTACCAAAGCCCGTTACGGGCTGCTTTTGCAAAACAGAGACCCTCCACGACGACTAGTAGACAGGAGCGAAGGCTTGCGCGGCAGCCAGTGCGGCAATGCAGCAAGACCCGGAGCTAAGTGCCCAGCAAGGGGCGGGACAAGCTGTTGTGTCAAAGAGGCGACAACGAGTTTACCAACATTGGCAGGGCAATGAGGTATGTCCTCTTCGCTGATTGCTTTCCTAGTCAGCGGTGGTCTAAGGGCGTTCTCGGTTGGGCTGAATCCTTCACTGCTGATATGTATTATAGTCATTAACATTAAGTATCGTATGGACGTCCCCCTCCCAACACAGAGGTTCTTCTGCTGGGGATTCCTGGTCGCCGGGCCGAACTGGAAAGCGAGTCTTGGGACAGCAGCTCTCATTACAGCACCTGCGGGTATCTACCTTGCCTTTGTGGCTCCCTATATGGGCCTCCACGTGCATGTCGTCATCTTAGTGATCAGGTGACATGAGCACACGCCGGTGACCTGCTGACGCACTGTTCACAGCGATCAATCCATGACGATCCTACTTGTTTCCCTCTTGCAGTTGCATTTTGCCTGTGCTGGCCATATGGTTCCTCATGTTAACCGCCTGCCGCGACCCGGGCATCATCCCCCGGCAAGAACCTGACCAGGAGTACCTAAGCGGCCAAAAGCCAAGGTGCGCGTCTGGGCAGGCAGGGTGCAGGAAGAGGGCAGCTCTGGGTGGGGTGCTCTTGAGCACATATGTGTTCGCCCATATCCAGCACACCCTTGCTAGGATAGAGGCTTTGCTTCCTTACATACCCTCTCTTCCCCTCCCCTTCCCTTCCCTATCATTATCACACCACACTTTGGAATTTCTTTTTTTCCCCTTCCCTTCCCTTCAAACAGGACTCGCGAGGTGTTTGTCAACAACCAGCGTGTGGTGATCCGCTACAACGACACCTGCCACTTCTACCAGCCGCCCCGCGCGCACCACTGCTCCGTCAACGACAACTGCATCGAGCGGTTCGACCACCACTGCCCCTGGGTGGGCACGACCATTGGACTGGTGAGGGGCGGGGTAGGGTGAAGGGGAGTGAAGATGAAGGAGGCCTAGGGACGTTGAGGCAGCGGAAAGACGTGTGTGCGCTCCTTGCCCTGCCATCTGCCCTGCGGCACCGGACTCTTCTCTTTCACTACCACCGAACCCCCCACTCTCTCCCCCCCCAACACACAGCGCAACTACCGCTCCTTCCTGCTGTTCGTGTACACCAGCACGGTGCTGTGTCTGTACGTCTTCGGCGTGTGTGTGGCCATGCTGTTCGTGAAGCACAACCAGCTGGCGGGGGAGGCGAGGGAGGCGGGCGGGGAGACGGGCGGGCTGTGGGGCAAGACGGCGGGCAAGGTAAGAGGCGGGCAGGGAGGGGGAGGGGGAGGGAGAGGGGAGGGGACTGTGGTGGGAGGGTGGGAGGCCAGGGGGTAGATGCATGCGAGGGGCAAGGGTGGGGGCGGGCGAGTAACAACCGCATTGGAACGTTAACTCACCCGCCCGTTCCCCCACCCGCCCTTCCCGTTCTCGCAGTGCATCCCCGCGCTGGCCCTGATGGGCTACACGTTTGTGTTCTTCTGGTTCGTGGGCGGCCTCTCCGTCTTCCACGCCTACCTGGTGGCGACCAACCAAACCACCTACGAGAACTTCAGGTGGGGGAGGGCTGAGGGGAGGAAACAGCTAACGGACCGAACGGATAAGGGGAGGGAGGGGAAGGGTATATAGTACCGGATGAGAGAAGAGAGAGGGATGGCGGAGGGTGAAAGGGGAACACGAACCAGATGACCTAGGCTTCACCAGGGAAGGGAAGGGGTGGAGCCTGAAAATTCAAGAGTCGATAGGATTGTCTCGCAATCCGCCTCACCCACCCACCCCACACCCGCGTCCTCGTCCTCGTCCCTCCTCTCCTGCGCCGCCTCACGCCTCCTCTCCCTCTTTCCCCTTTCCCCCGCCTCTTCCTCCCCCCCCCCCCCAGGTACAACCATGACAATCGGCCCAACCCCTACTCCCGCGGTATCCTCAGCAACTGCGCGGAGGTATGGTGCTCACCCATACCTCCTTCCAAGGTGCAGTTCCGCGCCTTCATCGACGAATTCAAACCGCCGACCGGACAGCCGTACTCGCCGTACCTCAACGGCGGAGAAAACGGTTTCGGAGCCGCTTCGGGCGCCTCTCAGGGGCACGGCGGTGTCGGAGGGGCGGCAGCTGGAGGTGACATGCAGATGGCGGCCATGCAGGGCGGTGGCATCCAGGGGGAGATGGATGGGCCCGGTAGTGGGCTCCCTGCGCCTCCTGGAGTGGGGGCCCAGTTTAGAGGAAGTGTGGCGCCGTTGCCGCTAGCCTCGCAGCAGCAGCCGCTTCACCAGGTCAGCGGTTTGACTGCGGGAGTGTTGGCGGCGCATAATAACAGCAGCAGCGCCGGGGGTGCGGTGCCGGCATCGGCTGCAGCGGGGGGCTACGCCTACGGGCCACAACACAGCATAGGCGGCGTTGGCGGAGGCGGCGTTGGAGGAGGCGGAGGGGGTATGGCGTTGCCGTACGATCCTGCAGCCGCAGCGCTGCAGCATTCCGCATCCGGGCATCACCTCCAAGCGCACCACTACCAGCAACAACAGCAGCAGCAGTACAATCTGCCGTACAACCACCCCGCCAACAACTCGGGCCGGTTCCACCAACAGCAGCAGCACCAGCAAGACATGTCACGTCGCAGCGGCAGCGGCGGCGGCGCAGCGGGCGGCCCCATGCACAGCCACCATAGCTACAGCAGCGATGCGGGCGCAGGGTGGGGAGTGGGAGGTGGCGCGAGGAACGAGCAGCCCCCGGCTGCGATGGTAAAGGGACAACATGGAAGTGCCTTTACAAGCCAAGCAGGGGGCGGCTCTTCCCGTGGGTTGAACATGGGCGGTGGAGGCGGTGGATTCGGAGCGTCGTACGGCAATGGTGGCGGAGGCGGTAGCATGGGAGGTGCTGTCGTACCCGGAGGGCAGCACCCCCAGCATCAGCAGTACTACGGTGGAGGCGGCGGGTACCCTCCTCCGCACCCTCACTCTCACCACTCCCATCACCACCAAGGGCGAGGAGGAGGGGGAGGAGCAGCGGAGGGGGACGGGCAGCAGTCGTACGGGTATGACGACTCGTACGGCAATGACGACTACGAGGTGTACGACGACGGGGAAGGAGAGTACGACGATGACGGGGATGAGGATGAGGGGCAGGGGCAGTACGAGGGGGGCGGTGGTGGTGGTAATGGCAGCCATCGCAATGCGGCTCGGCGGTACAGCGGTGGAGGCGGCAGTGGGGGTGGGGGTGTCGTGCGACCAGAGCAGGTGCGACCAGTGGGGCTGCGGTGAGGGAGGGCAGGGTGGAGAGGAGGAACTAACTAGGGGGTGAGGGGAGAAGAGACCGGTGGGGAGCGGAAAGGCCCGAACCGGATGGGAGATATGGCGCAGTATTGACTAGTCATAGGGTGCTACTGCGGATTAGAGTAGCGGGCAGCTTTGGGACTCGAGCGCACGTCCTAGGAAGGGATGAATATGACGACCGCGACCGGTAGGCGAGATCGGCGGTTGCGGATGGGGTTTGAGTGGTGGAAATGTTGATGTGGGTATTGATGGGCCAAACGTGTTGTTGTTGGTAGTGGCGGTGGTTGCTGTGTGCTCCCCATGTCATTGGGTTGCAGCGTTTTGCATGAGACGCGTACGGCACACGCGGATTGCACGAGACGCATGCATGCATGCACGGCAAGGCGCCGTCTTGATTCGCAGGGTGATAAGAAGCGAACAGGCGATAATCGTGGCGTTGGTGAATGACTCGTGGGGATGTAGCGGACCCGCCGCGCTACCAAGGCACTAACAAGTAACAGCTCTGGTTGTGCAGACAGGGTGCGGACGTGTTGTTAAATAGGGCCCATGGGCACTGTGGGAGCATCTTCTGGTGGGAGGATGGAGGTGTAAGGAGAAGGAGGGATGAAAGAGACGGGAAAGGGGTAGTAACAAAGTACATGGTCGGCAGATGGAAAGGAAAACAACAAGGGCCTGCTTTGCGACACCCTACACGGCATAGAGAGGGGTCTGCTGGATGTGTGCTGCAAAATGGATGCGGGTGTGTGTACGATGGTGTTTGGAAAGGAGGACACAACGGGGTCGACGACAATTAAGGAAACGCACGTTAACCTGTTATGCTCTCTCGTCAGCTATACCGGTAGCACCCACCCTACCCGCACGCACCACTTGCTTCCACCCCCGTGTCTTGCTCCTTACCGCCAGAGGGGCAGCTACCAGGCCTCACACACCGCCCAGTCCACATGCCCCGCGACCCGCAGCAGCGCACCCACCGCACATGCACCCACCGCTGCATCATGCGGCGATGCCAGGAGCAACCGCACACCCTCCTCCCTCTCCCCTCCCTCCCCGCCACGTGGACTTGCCCCGCTGCTGCTCCCGCTGCACCTCCCTCCTCCCACCCGCACCCCCAACACCCCACTCATCCGGGCCGCAAGTACCTCAGGCTGCAGGGCCGCAGCCTCCGCCAACATTCCACCCAGGCCACCCTTGCTGCTGCTGCTGCTGCTCCCGCCGGGATTGGCTTTCCTGCCATCACCACCCTTGCAGCCGTCGCTGCCGCCGCTGCTGCTGCTGCTGCTGCTGCTGCCCTCCAGAAGGAGGGAGCGCAGGAGGGGTGACAGCCCGGTGCACAGGTAGCGGTAGGGGTAGCGGTAGGGATCTGGGCGGCCGCTGGTGGTCACCACCGGCTGCTGTCCAGCCTGCGTTACCACCAGCGGTGTCACGTCCGGTGTCGTCAAGCTGATCTCAGGGGGGGCTGTGGTGGCCGGGATGACGTAGCTGCCTCGTCGGGATGCTGGTGATGGGGCCTCCTGCGCTTGCTCCTCCTCTGGAAGCAACAGCACCGCCATTACCGGTGTCACCACCCCAGCTGGTTTCTGCAAAGTTGTGTCGTCCTCACCACCACTGCCGCAACCAGCCGCATCACCACCACCACCACCAGCACCCCTGCTGCTGCTCCTCCCGTCCACATTCCTGTATGCTGCAGCTGCTGCAACCGCCGCTGCTGCAACCGCCGCTTCTACCACGCTTTGAAACTCTTGCACAGTAGCTCGATAGCGCGTCTGGGGCTCGGCCTCAAACTGCGTCGAAAGCTGCGGAGGAACGGGCAGGGTTGGGCGAGTTCGAGCAGGGCCGGAGGGAGGAGGGGGGAGCCGTGGTTGGTTTGCCAAAGACAATACGGGGGTGTGATAACGGGAAGCAAGGGAGGCGTGCATGGTGGCTAACGGTATAGAATACATGTGGGCAGCATTGTCGCTGCGTAAGTAACATCCGAGGCTCGGCACACAAAAGGGAAGGGTTAAAGGAAACGAATATAACAAGTACCGGTGCAGTACAGTATACGGACGTACGACACCACTACAACCTTGAGAGGGCAGGGTTCGTACAACTCAGATGCCGACGGGTAGGCAGTCCGCCATGCGGCCCAACCGCCCAACAGAATGAACGGCGAGGGGTGTCCGTACGACAGCAGCTGCCACCACACACGTGCAGCTGTCAGGTTGATTACTGCTGCGGATACCGGTGTCGCAGGTACTGGAGTGCTGCGGTTGGTGCCGCTTTTGGTGTCACCGCCAAAATCATCGCCGACGTCATACACCTGCGGCGGGCGGGCGTGCATGCATGCGTGAAGAGTAGGAGCGTGCTTGGATGGCGCATGATTAAAACATGTCAGCCCTGCATACGGTAACAGCAGCAACAGAACAATCCCATGAACATGGAGTTGGATGTGGGCTTAACCATAGCCACGCGACTCCCCAACCCTGCAGAGTCCCCAAACTAACCTCCCCCCCTATGGTTTGGTATGGTCTTTGACCCCCCCCCCCCCCCCCCGCGGCCCCATCGCTCACCACCACCGGCTCCTCAGCGGACACCCCCATTGCCTCCAAGCAGGCCACGTACACGCCCGGATCGTCCTCCAACTCCAACACCTGCTGCTGCCACACCTCACCACCCTCCTCCTCCCCCTGCACCTGCACCTGCACCTGCACCTCCCCCTGCACCTGCTGCTGCTCCCCCTCCTGCCGTACTGCTGGCCGCCAGCGGGCGCCATCCCTCACCCAGTTCATGAATACCGCACCCTGGGAAGGGGAAGGAGAAACCTGAAGTTGGTCACCTGAGCTCCCACTCGCTCCCACTTCCCCCGACTCGGTTACAGCATCCACCCACCGGTATGTGTCCCTCCAGATACGCATCATAGTCGGCGAAGCAGGCGTCAGGTGGGGGCCGCAGCCGCCAGTGGGAGCAGCTGGGAGCAGCCGCAGTGGGATCCCCGCCTCCGCCTCCGCCCCCTCCGTCGGCATCACTGGCGTCACTGCCCTCAGCAGTGCCCCCTTGTTGCTGGTGCTGCTGCTGGTTGCTGTTGTTGTTGTGCTGGTGCTGGTGCTGGTGCTGGTGCTGCTGGTGCTGATCGCAAGCGGCGCTGCTGTGAAGGCGGTTGATGCGGCCCCGCGCATCCAGCACGCGGACCCCCTGTTGCGTCGTCATGCCACATACGGTACCACACACCACAGGCACATCATCGGCAGCAATAAAAAGCTGTGAAGAGGCAGCCAACATGCATGAAGGCGGTAGGTGGGGTGCGGTAACCGAGAGGTCCTGCACTACCCCGGGTACCTACCTCAAGATTGCGCCGCAGCCAGGTGACATCCACAAAGGGACCTGCGGGCCGGCTGCTACTTCTATCGGTACCCGCTGCGAGGCCAGATGCACGCGCTGGCGACAAAGGGTTGTTGTGACCGGGCGATGGATGGCGGTTGTTGCTACCCAGTCTAGAGAGGAAGGTTAATGGGCGTCTCAGCAGGCTAAAGGTGCACTGGGCGTTGCGCATTCCTGCGTAGGCGTTATTAGGGTGCTGGTTCTTCGCACGAGGCATGCTTAGGTCGGGGGGCTGCTTTAACATGGCTTTGCAGAGCGAACGCACAAGTAGATCGCAGGGCAGATGATGTAGAAATGAGATGTGTCGTCGCACTGAGAGCGCAGGTCTTCGGAGAGGACCTTTGGGGGGTTCGTTTTCGTTGCGCGACGGTTAGGTTCTACTACGGCCGAGCTGGCAGCTGCCAAAACAAGCAATGTACTTTCGCTCGTTCATAATCCGCAATGTTGTCGGCTCGGATATGAATTGTGCAGTTGGTGGTGCAGTTAGTGGGAGATCTTCGTGGCCTGCAAGGGTGTCAATTGGTTTGCAAGGCCGTCTTGACCGACTTGTGGCACACGGGAAGCTGGGGACATCCCACCACGCAATCCATGGCTATCGATCGGATCGTAAACGCAGCCAATGCATACTCCTGCAGCCTAGAAGACTAGATTCAGCGTGCGTGGCATCCCAGCCTCTCAAACGTGATGATGGCAGCTTGGTGGAGCTGCAACACGTCTTAGCTAAAAGGGCATGTGCACGGAAATCGCAGCTTATCGGGTAATCCCAACCGGTATAAGGCTATGTGCTTGGTAGTTGGCATTGTCCAGCAACAGCGAAGTGTTTTGTGAGGTATGCAACCCCATCCAATATGGATGTGAGGATGGCCATTCGCGACTTTTGCACGCCGTCAACGATCGCAAAATTGAAACGGGGCCCATAATATTATGTTTCATAGACATGTTTCTGCGCAACCTATAGATTGCATCTGTCAGGCAACAAAGTGCCTGCTGCACATCTTCGGTGCTTATCCAGAACGAGAACGTCTCGAATTACACGTTCATACCATTCTGGAGGCTAGCTCATATGCTTTGTCATCAGCTCTACATGAGAGGATGGCTTACAGGCTTGGGCACTAGGGTTGAGAAACCACGGTTATAATCAATTGGCCTGGCCCCAGATGACATATTCAGTACACATACATAGCCTAATATAATTGAAATTGTGACAAGTCTCACATATGGCAGTCGGCGTGTGGTAGGATTAGTGGACCAAGGAAACGTACGGCGTTCATCGAGATTCTTTCCACAAAAGTCTCGACCAAACCCGAACGCGTTGGCTAAGTTAGCTTAGTACCCAATTACGAAAATGGCGTCCCTCCTGGCCTCCCGTAGCTCTGCTGTTGCTTTCTCGCGCCAGAGCCGTGCTGCCCCTAAGGTGGCCGGTCGCGCCGTCGCCCGCCGCAGCGTTGTGGTGCGCGCCGCGTGCGGAGACAAGCCTCTGGTGGGCTCCGTTGCTCCGGATTTCAAGGCCCAGGCCGTTTTCGATCAGGAGTTTGTGGACTGCTCGCTTTCTAATTACCGCGGCAAGTATGTCGTCCTCTTCTTCTACCCTCTGGACTTCACCTTCGTGTGCCCCACGGAGATCACGGCCTTCTCTGATCGCTACAAGGAGTTCAAGGAGATGAACACCGAGGTGCTGGGCGTGTCGGTGGACTCTCAATTCACGCATCTGGCCTGGATCCAGACCGATCGCAAGGAGGGTGGCCTCGGCGACCTGGCCTACCCGCTGGTTGCCGACCTGAAGAAGGAGATTTCTAAGGCCTACGGTGTGCTGACTGAGGACGGCATTGCCCTGCGCGGCCTGTTCATCATTGACAAGGAGGGCGTCATTCAGCACGCGACCGTCAACAACCTGGCTTTCGGCCGCAGCGTTGACGAGACCAAGCGTGTCCTCCAGGCTATCCAGTACGTGCAGTCCAACCCTGATGAGGTCTGCCCTGCCGGCTGGAAGCCCGGTGACAAGACCATGAAGCCCGACCCCAAGGGCTCCAAGGAGTACTTCGCCGCTGTGTAAATAGCAAATGGCAGCAGCATAGCAGAGAAGGAATAAAAGAGCAGATGGGACTCATTTCTGGAGCAGGAGCGATGGAGTTGGGGTTCAGCAGGTTGGCGTTAGGCAGCAGCGATATGTGAGCGAGGTGAGCCGGACCTAGGCTTGCATGGTTGTGTTGCGGTGGTCGTGCGGTTGCGGGTATGGATTTTGGATCCTGCACGTTCGTGCGTTATACGGGATGCGGTTGAGGAAGGGGATGTTGCAACTCTTGCGCTCAGTCGCCTGCAGTTGCATTGACTGACGGTTGAAGACTGACATTGCTAGCGGCCCGATTTTGTCATGTTAGGGTTGACTAAGCAGCAGCATAAGGGCGAATGAGTTGACACTGTATGTGCGTAATGGTGTAATTGCCATGTGAGGGGGTGCCCAGCTCCACGCTTCCGGAGTTGGATGCATGTTACACCTATGCAACGGCGTTCCTCCTCCTTCCTGTCGCTCCTCGCTGCACGCAGCGGTCACCGCCGCAATAGCAAGCAGCTTCACAACTATAACCAGTCCTATACTTCGCCGAGCAGTACAACCGAGCAGTACTAGGTGCTCATATACTTCAACCGTTAGGGTGCATAGCTGTATGTGCATATGTACAGCACCTGTCCAGCGTGGATTTCTTATGAACTGTAGTAGAGAGATTGTCGCCGCAATGGACAGTCACAGCAAGTGCACGTCTATGGCACTTGTTGCCCATGCGCGTGCGGGGGACTGCAGAGGATAGCCCGCGGGATCAAAGCACGGTGCAGCGTGGGTGTTTTTCGCGTGCAGCGTCAACCAAAACAACTGTGTGCGGGACAGGTACGTGCCATGTAAACTTCAAACCCCCAGGAAAGAGAGTGAAAAGCTACGTGGGATAGTAGGTGTTCATGCTGCCAATTTATCAAAAGATACCGGTACGCGGTTGCTGTCTTGGCAGTTACGGCGAACGGCTATCCACGACTGTTGCACAAGGTACTCCCCATGTGTTGCATGCAAAAAGTTTACAAACTGAGTTCGCTTCCATGGCTGCTTAAACATGGTCTCTATAGTGCTAGAAATAAAGTAGTCATTTTTCCAGCAACATGCCCAACTGAAGGCGCGCTGTTGAAATCAAGTTACTTGTTAACAAGCTGGGCCGCTTACGATTGCTGAAGCAATCCAATACCATAGTGGATTGCTTGGATAAGCCGGTTAACGCGCCCGGGATAACTTCAAGGCGGATCGTTCCCTTGTCCCCAGCAGCTTACGATTTTGCCAATGGAAGCTAGCGAGACCTTTAACATATAGAAGAACTAAATGGAAACTGTCTCCGGCGCCCTAGACGATTGGGGCGACGTGGACCTTGACGATGACACTTTCCTGCCGGGCTCTAACGCTGCGACAGCCACAGATCCATTCAAAGCCATCCTAACCGATGACGATGAAAGCCCGGAGTGGCCCAGCTCACCTACCGGAAGTGACTCCAACTGTCCATCTAACGCAGCGCGTCCGCAGCCCGTCCTGCAGGCGTCCTCTGGTGTTTCGTCAGGAATTCCTGTAGACTCTGGTATTTATAAAGGGGCAGCCAACCCTGCTCAGCAGCTGGCATCCGTAGCCGCTGCTGCCCCACCTACTGCAACAGCAGCGGCAACTGGACTGTCGACTCCTCCGGGACCCTTTGGTGGTGCTGCAGACGATGCCTCGTCTTTCTTTGAATCCTGGGGCGCACCTCCTGCGGAGGAATCCTCGCCTGCAGAGTCAGGCTTGGCTCTGCCCCAACTGGCCCTCACCGCAGTCTCAGCCACACAGCCTCTCCCTGTGGAGGCGCCGGCGCCTGCCCAGGTGACCCGGCCTCCCATGAGCTCCCGAACAGTGCCCCAGCAGTTGCATTCTCCTCCTCCTCCTGCAGCGCCAACCCCAACAGCAGCCGCAGCATCGGCAAGCGTGGCCCCTGCAGCAACAGCGGCAACAGCAATAGCAGCGGGTCTGGCTGGCGTGACAACGGTGGACGGCGGCATCACGTCCGGCATTGAGCTTGGAGTGGCAGCCACCGCTCCCCTGCCGCCACCCTCACCGACTCCTTTACCTCCCCCTTCTACCCCTTCCTCCTCTTTGTGGACTTCCGATAATGGTGACGCAACGGCGCCACCGCCACCAGCAGCACCACTAGCACCCGCACCGGCAGCGGAGGAGGCCGCCTCCGCCTCCTCCTCTTCAGCGCCGCTGGCCTCCCCAGCTGGCACCGCTCCGACCCCGCCTCCGCCGCTCCGCCGCCACCGCCTCAGCGTGTCCACATCCTACCGAGATCTCACCAGCAGCAGCCTGGTAGCGGCCGGGGGCGGATCAGGCGCCGACGGAGGCGAAGGAGGCAAAGGCGGCAGCAGTGATGTGGCTGTACCGCCGTCGCCATACGGGTTGCTGGTGAGCGGCGGCGGCCCTGCTGCTGGGGAGGCGTTGCAAGTGGAGAAGGATGCCAGCGGGGTATCAGCGCCAGCGGCGGTGGCGCCGCCACCACCGCTGTCGTACGGGCAGGAGCTGCTGTTGGCGGGGCAGCCGACGGCGGCGATGGCGGCTTCAGGAACGGCGCCGCCGCCGTCGCCGTTTTCTCCGCCGCCGCCGCCGCAACCGCTTCCGTTGGCTACAGTAACGGTACAGAGCAGTGCTACCGCTGTTGGTGCTGGTGCTGCTATTCCCACTTCCGGAACAGTGTTGAAGGAACATGTTACCACTGTTGTGGGGAACGCAGAGAGGGAACCACTGCCGCCGCCAGAGGGTGACGTCACTACTGCTGGTAGCACCGGCGTTGGAGTTGCTGTTGCTGTTGCTGTTGCTGCGGAAGAGGAGGAGGGGAAGGAGGTGTTTCCTTCGAAAAAGGCTTTGGAGCCGCTGCCTGATGCTGCAATGAAGGCTGCAACGGAGGTTGTGGCGGAGGCGACAGAGGCGACGACGGAGGCGAGCACCCCTCGACATCACCAGGTGCCTGATGAGGCGGCCGGGGGCGAGGCTGGCGGTGGCATAAGCGCCTCGGCTGCCCTCAGGTACGGCACTAGGGCAGCAGCTGCAGCTGCGCGCCGGGTTATGAAGCATGAAGGCAGGCGGGGGGTGATCCTTCCACCTCTTCTTCCCTCGTGACACCCGTTACGACCGCGTTTCTTTGCGCTTTTGCTCAAATCCTGCCCTTTGCATGTATCACACCTTTCACGCATCACTGCCCTTCCTTCCCTCCTCACCTCCGCCTTACCCTCCCTGCCCTTTCTTCCCTCTGCGCCTCCCCCCCCCACCCCCTCCCAGGGCTCGTCCCGGCACCACCCACCTCTACCGCCCCTCCCCGCCCAGCTCAGTTATCAGCGGCGCGCCGTCAGTGAGCGGATCCGACATCGCCGCATTCGACGACGCATTTGATCAACTGCTCGCGGCGCCGGATGTTGCTCCGGATACACCAGATCCGCCGCCGCCGATTGTGCCGCCACCGGTGACGGCCATACCGGTGGCAATGCCGCCGCCGGAGGTGCCTCCTCAGGCCCTGCAAGCGCCGGCAGAGCCGCCGCCGCCACCACAGCCGAATGGATCGATGTACAACAGCAACGCTGCGGCGGCTGACGTTAGTGGTGGAGCCGCTGGCGACGGAGGCAGCGACGCCAGCGGGGCTCCGCCAAGCGGCTTCTTCATAGCGTCCAGGAACCCCTTCGGTCCGTCGGACAGCGTTACGCTGGGTGCTGATGGCGGCGGCGGCAGCGGCGATGAGGAGGATATCTTTGCGGCGCTGTCCGCTGCTGCTGCTAACGGCGATGCAGGCGGCAGCATGGGCAGCTTCCCTGCTCCGCAGCTGCCTCCCGGGCAGTTCACAGTCGCGAGCGGCAGTCGTGGCAACTTGGCACGGCTGTTCGGGGCGCCGTCGGGCGCCAGCGACGTTGCATTGGCAATGGATGCGAATGCGATTGCGGATGGCAGTGGCGGCGGCGGTGGCGCCGGCGGATTTAACCAGTACCGCACGGCTTCACGGCCACTGTTCCCGGATTCACGTACTTCTTCCCTGCCGCAGCTACAGAGCGACGCTGTTACGAGTACCAGCCAACAAGCGCCACCAACGACGGCAACAGCGGCGGATGTGCTGATGATGATGACCACCACCGGGGCAGTAGCAGCAGCACCAGCAGCACCAACAGCAGCAGCAGCAACAGCACCAACAACAGCACCAACAGCAGCAGCACCAGCACCAGCGGAGTATGCAGCTGCTCATTCACTGCAAGGCGACATGCCAGCAGCGGCGGGTATGGCTGCCCCAACGGCCGCCGCCGGTTGGGAGCCAGCAGCAGCGGCGGTGACCACCACCTACCAGCAGGCGGCAACTGACGTCTCCGCGCTGTTCGGAGGAGGAGGCGAAGGGGATGGGGGTGGCGGCGACGATGACTTCTTTGGCGTTGTTGCCTCCGACCCCGCTGGCGCCTTCCCTTCCGCCGCCGCCGCCGCCAACGGTGATGGTGATGCCTTTCTCGGCGTTCCAGCTGTGGCGGCAGTGCCGTACACGTCCCCCGGTGCCGTACCTGTGCCGTACACGTCCCCCGGTGCCGTGCCTGTGCCGTACACGTCCCCCGGTGCCGTACCTGTGCCGTACACGCCCCCCGGTGCCGTGCCTGTGCCGTACACGCCCCCCGGTGCCGTGCCTGTGCCGTACAGTGCATGGCCAAGCCAGGTCGCAACGACAGCAGCAGCAGCCGCTGCAACGCCGACAGTAGCCTCAGGACTGCCGGCCCAAGGACTGCCATTTGGTGGTGGCGGCGCTACAGGCGACGATGCGGCGTCGTTCTTCGACAGCTTGGTCGAACCTGCTGCTGCGGCGGCGAATGGGGGTGCCACAGCCGGAACCGCAGGGCTGCCAGACTTGGGTGTTATGGGGTTGGGAGCAAGTGCTGCTGCTGTTGGTTCACCGGATGCGGCACCGGTTCTGGCGCCGGCACCGGCGCCACCGCAGCAATATCGGCCCTACCAGCAACAGTACCAGCAGCCCTACCAACAGCCCTACCCGCAGCAACCTTATCAGCAACAGCCCTATCAGGAACAGCCCTACCCGCAACACCAGCAACACCACCCCCCAGCAGCTGCGGCTTCTGCGCCAGTGGCCGACCAGGACCCGGGTGCTGCCTTCTTTGACTCTCTGGTCGAGGGCGGGGAGGAACCGGCGGTGGTGCAGCCGCCCCCTGTTGGCAACCCCACCCTCCTAGCAGCGGGAGCGGGAGCGGGTGTGGGTGCGGGTGCGGCGCCCGTGGTGGCACATGCGGCGGGTCATGTCGGTAGCCCGGGCGCTGTCGTGACTCCTCCTTTCACAGCTGCAGCGGCTCCAGTGGGAGCAGCCCCACCTGCCACTGCTACTGCTACTGCTACTGCTGCCACCGCTGCTGCTCCGGAGGCGGTCCAGGTGCCGCCGTCAACGCTGCCGCCGGTTTACACAACTGGCCAACAGCAGCATTGGCAGCAAGATCAGCGGCAATCGTGGACCCAGCAGCAGCCCCAACAACAGCACCAGCAGCAGCACCCACAGGGGTCTCACGCCTGGCAGCCCCAACAACAGCACCACCAGCAGCAGCCCCCAGCTCCCCAGCTGCACCCCCAACCCGCCCAGCATGCCTCCAGCAACTCAGCGCCTGCAGCTGCTGCCACAGCGGCGACGACGACATGGGGACAGGAGGGCTTTTCGCCGTTGTCATCGCCGGCGGTGCAAACGCAAACGCAAGTGGCTATGCCGGTCTGGAATGCGCCTCAGGCGGCCGCTACTGCCACTGCTGGTGGTGGTGGTGGTGGAGGTACTCAGCCTGAGCAGCCGCCATCCTGGCAGCCACAGCAGCAGCCTCCTTGGCAGCAGCAGCAGCAGCAGCCTCTTTGGCAGCAGCAGCAGCAGCCTCCTTGGCAGCAGCAGCAGCAGCAGCCTCCTTGGCAGCAGCAGCAGCAGCAGCAGCCCGCTCCATGGCAGCAACCGTCGCAGCAACCAGAGCCATTGTCGCAGCCGGAGCAGCTGCCGCAGCTGCAACCTCTGCAGCCGCAGCAGGCCTCCGGCAGCACTGTAGCAGCCGCGTCGGGTCCTGGTGACGGCGCTGCATCGGGGGGCATCGGCCTCTTCGGTGGTGGCGAGGGCGCGGTCGATGACGGTTGTGGCTTCTTCGAAACGTTGGGGGAGGCAGCAGCAGCTCCGGAGGAGCAGCAACCCCGGGCGGAAGCACCGCCGCCGCCTTTGCAGCAGCAACAACAGGTGCCCCCGCAACTACAACCACAGCCACTGCCGCTTCAGCAGCAGCAACAACAAGGCTACGTACACCATCACCATGACCACCACCAGCCCCCCTCGCCTCACAGCCAGCTGCACTTCACTGCGTTTGCTGACGGCCACACGCAGGCGCGCGTGCAGCAGGACATCTCCGGCGGCACCACCCCCACCAGCCTGCATGAGCAGCAGCAGGGGAAGCAGGAGCAGGAGCAGCAACCCTTCTGGGTGCCGCCGGATATGAGGGTGCAAGAGCAAGAGCAGCAGCCCCCGCAGCAGCAGCAGCCCCCGCAGCAGCAGCCCCCGCAGCAACATGGCGATGTCCAGCAACAGGGCCAGCATGCAGCACAGGAGGGGGAAGCTGGTGGCATTGCAACGAATGGTGCAACCGCTACTGCTGCGGCTCCAGCCACCGCAGCTGATGCTACGGCCACAGCTGCGGATGCTGCTACAACTGCGGCGACAGCAATGACGGAGGAGCAGCTGCAAGCGGCAGCCGCCGCCGCCGCAGCTGCCGCATGGGAGGCAGCTGGGGGCTACAGCCTTCCCAATGCGACTGAAACCTACCAACAGTACTACTCCTATTACTACTATTACTACCAGCAACACAACGTACAGCAAGTGCAGATGCAGCAGCAACAACAGCAGCCACAGCAGCAGGAATTGGTGGCGGAGGGGCAGCAGCAGCAGCCCCAGCAACCTCAGCAGAAGGAAGTGGAGCAGCCGAGCCAACCAGAGCAGCAGAAGCACGACGCAGCAGCAGCGCCGCTGAATGTGCTGCAACCGGAGCTGACGGGGCAGCAACAACAGCAACAATGGCAGCAGCAGCACCACCAACAACAACACCATCAGCAGCAGGGTGAGTACCAACAGGCTCAGCAAGCGCCGCAGCAGCAGGCGCCACCAGCCGCAATGCCACCACTGCAGCACCAACAACAGCTGGAGGGGCAGCAAGGGCAGCAGCAGCAAGGGCTGCAGCAGCAGCAGCAGCATCACCAGCAGCAGCAAACCGTGTGGTCGGGAGTCGCAGCAGCACCGGTCGCTGGTCTAACTGCTGCACAGCCGGTGCGGCAACAGGAGGAGGCGGCGCAGCAGCAGCAAGGGCAGCAGCCGCATGCCTCAGCGGCGGGATCTGCGCCGGCGTATGGAGCAGAGCCACCGCTTGGGAGCAGTCAAGCCGCCGCATCGTCCGGATACGGTAATGCATCGTACAGACAGTCGCCGTACGGCCAACAACAGCAGTCACAACAGCAGTTCCAACAGCATCAACAGCCCCAACAGCAGCAGGTGTACAACTCATCTGCCTACGGAGCTGCTAGCAGCCAACCACCACCACAACAACCGCCGCACCAGCAGCATCTTGACTGGTACGGACAACAACAGCAGCAACAACAACCCCAGAGTGCGAGCTTTTTTGGTGGACAGCCATACGGTACTCCAGCGGCACAGTACGGCGGACCTGCCGTACCTCCGTCGTACACTAGCACAGTTCCGTACGGTCAGCAGCAGCACGGTGATGCGTCGTACAGCCAGTACGGACAGTACGGATCGTATCCGTACGGCATGCAACCGCAACAGCAGCAACAGCAACAACCACAGCAGCAGTATGCGAGTGCATGCAACTACCTGCCCACCACTCCGGAGCTGGCGCGCACGTGTCCCCACGGGCGACCCGCGCATGTGGTGTTTGGGTTCGGTTTCGGAGGCCGCGTGGTGATTATGAGGCCGCCAGCTGAGGGGGATGCGGACGCGGGTTAGTGCGGGTGCATGGAGGGGGCTTGGATAGCAGTGGGTAGGGTTAATAGTGTGTTAGGAAACCTGGCTGCGGGTTGGCATGTATGATTGATGTGTCGTATGATTATACTTGGTTGTCATGCCTCGTGGGTTCGGTGTTCTTCCTTCCTCCTCCTCCTCCTTCTCCAACCTGCCTCCTCCCGCCCCCCCCCGCCGCTCCCTCCCTTTATCTCCTCATTCCCAACCTGCCCCCTCTTCCCGCCCCCCGCCCCTCGCCCCCCAGGCTCCCTGGCAGTGTTCGGCTGCCCAGGTCCGCTGCAGCTGCTGCTCCTCACCGCCCTCACCGCGGCCCACCTGACCGGGGGCCAGCAGGGGGCGGGAGCAGCGGCAGCAGGGGGCGGCAAGGCGGGGGAGAAGAAGGGGCAGCGGGGCGCTGCACAGGTGGGTGGGGGCGGGTGGGGGTGGGGGTGCATCGTCGCGTGGGCAGCCGCCGGTTTGTTCGATGTGACGCGCGACGAAGACGGCAGAGGAAGGCACTGCAGTCCGAAATCCACTTTATTACATTGTGTGAGCATGTGTTTTTTCCTGGCACTTTACCCCGGCTGCCTGCAGCAGGTTCCGCTACTGGAGGGCGCAGTACGGCAGCTGACCTCCTTCCCGGGGCCGCTGGGACCCTCCAGCAGCAAGGACAAGGTGGGGCTGGGGTGGGGTATGCGAGTGTGTATATCGGGGGGTATTCTCGTTGCAATGCATGCGACTCTGTTAAACCTCCATCTTCCTTCACAACGCATCCACCCTCTCCTTACTGCTTCCTTTCTACAACGGCACATGTGCTCATGCTCACCGCCCTCTCATGCCCACCGCCCTCTTTCCCCTGCAGCTGCTGAAGTGGTTAGCCGACCAGGCGGCCGCATGCGCCGCGGAGGCAGCAGCCTCCCTGCAGCCACCCCCACCCCCACCTGCACCCGGCTCCGACCCGCAATCTCAACTGCAACCGCAGCAGCCTCCCTCTCTGGCGCAGCAGTCTCAGCTGCTGTGGGAGGTCCTCAGGCTGCGGGTCAAGTACTCGGATGGGGGCGGAGGCGGAGGCGGCCTTGGTGGGGGTGGAGCGGGTGGTGGTGGTGTTGGGGGGGGCAGCGGCAAGGGGCGTCTGGCTCGGTTATCCGGGGGGCTGGGAAGGGAGGAGCAGCAGGGGCAGCAGCAGGGGCAAGCAAACAGCGCGGACGCTGAGTTTGCACGTCTGCTGCTGCAGCTACAACCAGCTGGTGGCAGGGATGGTAGGAATGGACGGTCGAGCGCCGACGGCGGCAGTGGAGGAGGTGGAGGTGCTGAGGGCGCTACCGGGGGGTTGGATGGCGCAACGGGAGGTACTGGTGGTGTGGCGGGGGAGGGTGCGCCGGTGCTGGCTGGGGGGCCACCCGAGGCGCTGCAGCAGGCGGCGGCGCAGCGCATGCAGCGGCTGCTGGTGACAGGGCGGCGGGGGGATGCGCTCAAGGTAACGCAGGGGGGGTGTGTTCTTTTACCGGTATTTGGGGGAGGTGGAGGGAGTCGTAGGATGGTGTTGTAGGGTTGGTGTTTCTTTACCATGGTCGTGGTACCTACGTTATGGTATCGCTGTATGCCGCTGTATCCTTTTTGCATGCGCTGTTTAATAATTACAAACACATCAGCAGCTTCCTACACCTACGCACGTGCCTGCAGGTGGCTACGGAGGCGGGTTTGTGGGGCCCCGCACTGCTCCTCGCCTCCTCCCTCAGCCCCGACGGCCGAGCCTTCCAAGAAGCAGCTGCCGCAATGGCGCAAGCGCTGCTGCTGCCGGGCACACCCGCACGTACACTTGCTCTCGTACTGGCGGGCCGGCCGGATCTCGTACATGCTGCTGCCGTACAACAGCCTCCTCTTTCTCCTGATGTCTTGGGTGGCGGCGCCGGCGGTGGCGGCGGCGGCGGAGGAGGGTTTGTTGGCGGCTCCGCCGGTAGCTTCAGCGGCTTCGGACCTCCGCCGCCTATGTTCGGCGTCGCGGCGGCGCTAGCACCTCCGCCGCCGGCAGCGCACCTGCCCCCCGCGGGCTTTTACAACCCGACGACGTCTGCAAGCACGACAGTCAGCGGCTACGCTGGCGGCGGCGGCGGAGGAGGTAGCGGCGGTGGCGGCGGCGGGCGGGGAGGTGGCATGCTGTCGTGCTGGCATGAGCACCTGTCGGTGTTGCTGACCAGCAGGGGCCCGGTGGACGCCTCGGAGGCTGTCGTACGCTTGGGAGATCGGCTGCGGTCGGAGGCGGGACAGGTAGGAAGTGCTGTCGTACGGGAAAGGGCTTCGTGGTTGATGTTTTGCCATGGCTCTCGTCAGGCCCTTGTGTCGACTGGAAGCCAAAAACAACCTGCTTCTCCACCCTACACGTCCTCCACTCCTCCACCCCTCGTACACCCCCTCCCCTGCCCCGCAGGTCCTGGCGGCGCACCTCTGCTACAGCCTCGCTAGCTGCCCCCCCGCACTGCCCGACTCCCCTGACTGCCGCTACAGCCTGCTAGGAGCCAGCGCTACAGCCCTGCCGTACATGCCATTCGCCGACGGCGGCGCCGCCTTTAAGAGAACCGAGGTGCTGGAATGGCTTCTAATGAAACAAGCGGCGACGGCGGTAGGAGCGACAGCGGGGGCCGGTGGAGGAGGCGTAACGGCTTCATCTTCCGGCGCGGCCGGCGGCGCCACCGCCGCCGATGCCGTACTTGTTCAAATGGCCCCGCTGCTGCCGTACAAGCTGTTGTACGCCTGGAGCCTTGTGGAGTACGGCAAGATCACGGAGGCGTTGCAGTACTGTACGGCAATTGAGGCGGCGCTGCGGACGGGGGGTGCGGCGATGGCTGCTATGATCGCACCACAGCAGCAGCAGCAGCAGCAGCAGGTGGTTGGGGGCCAACAGACTGGGGCGGCGACGGCTGTGACGGGAGGAGGCAGCGTGTGGGGTGCTGGTGGTGCGGGTGGGGGTGCTGTCAGTCGCTTCCCGGCCGGTTCCTGGCTCGCAGTGACGGAGGTGGGGCTGAGGCGGCTGCAAGACAGAGTGGTGCAGTACGCGCAGGTGGGTGGGAGGGGAGCGGGAAGGAGGGAGTGGGGAGGGAAGGAGAGAAACCCAACTGGGGTGGACGAGAGGAGGGAAATAACCTTAGTTGTGGGATGCACTGCTCTGCTGGACGTTGCTGGACATTACCCGTACGTCACAGCAACCCTGCCCGTCTCGCGCCTGTCTTCTGTTCTTCTCGCTACTGAACCGCACTCAACGGTCGACCCACCTGCCCTCCTGCTTCCCACCCCCCACGTGCCAGGCCAACTCCATCAACCTGCAACACCGCTTAGCCGAGTCCACCATGACAAAGGTAGCGAGGGTTGCCTTCGATGGACGGGTTATGTGTTTGTCGTACGATAGCTGGATTCCCGCACGCAACAAACAACACCATCTGATGCACCCCTGGATGCACAACCACATTCCTCTCTCCTAATATGCCCCAGGTGAGCCGCTTCCTGGACGGCACCATCAACAAGCTGCTGTGGGGCGGCGAGCCGGAGCGGGAACACAGCACCTCTGCCTCAGGAGCAGCAGCCGGCGGAGGTGGTGGTGGTGGTACGGCATCCGGCGGTACGGCAGCAGTCGGTGGTACGGCAGCTGCCGCCGCAGCTGCTGCTGCTGCGGCGCAAGCCGGTCCTCAGACGGTCATGGGAGGGGCGGCCGCTCCGCTTGCTGGCATCGGGCCCATTGCGCCCTGGCACGTGGATCTAGGACACGTGGGGCCGCAGCCCGCCGCTGCCGCTGGCGCCGCTGTTGGCGGTGGCGGTGGCGGCGCCCTACCCGGCACTGCAGTACCTGCCGCCGGCTCGGCAGCGCCACCGCCAAACACCATGAGTCATTCGTCCTCCACCAACGCGCTGGCGGCGGCCTCCGACGGCGGCGTTATGTCTTCTTGGTACGGCAGCCCCGCTGCCTCCGCCGCCACGGCGGCGGCGGCGACGGCTCCAACCGCGGCGCCGTCGTACTCTGGGCTTCCGCCTCCGCCGCCGTCGGCTGCTGCCGCGGCGGCAGGGGCACCCGTGCCCTCGGCGCCTCGCTCCATGCCCGGCGGCAGCAGCTTCCTGATGATGGATGCCACCGGTGCGGGCGGCGGCGGCGGTGGTGGTGTAGCGGGAGGCTGGAACAACACTGGGACGGTTTCAGAGACGGGACTTCCGCCATCCTCTCAACTACAGCAACCACCACCGCAGCAGCAGCAGCAGCACCCCCAGCAGCAGCAACCGTTTGGCCACCGGCGCATTGTGAGCGCGATGGATCTGCCGCCTCAGGGCTTGTTGCTGCAGCAGCATCCGCAGCAGCAGCAGCACATGCCGTACATGCAGCATGGAGGGCAGCAGCAGCAGCAGCCACAGGGGGGCGGGTCCCCCGCGGGACCATCGGGTTTCCCCGCGGGAGGGGGGGTTGCGGGGGGCGGAATGAAGGGCAGTGTGAGTGCGGGTCAGGTGGATGTGGCAGCCGTGGCGGGGAACAACAAGGCGGCAGGTGCGTGGGGGCGTGTGGGAGTTGGGGTTGGTACCGGTAAGCAACTGAGCCGCATGACGGATGAAACCTGATCATTGGTACATTACCTTAGTAAGGAAGGCGCAGTCCTATGTGCAGTCCTATGCGCTTTGTCCGAGAATCACCATCTGCTTTCTACGGTGATTCTGCTTTCTCCCACTTTAGTTAGCAGCATAGCTTTCTTCTTCTTCTTTTTTCCACCCGCCCTTTCCTCCCAACAGGTGCCGGCAAGGGCAGTAAGGGCGGCTCCCCCGACAACAAGAGCAGCGGCAAGAGCGGCGGCAGGTGCGGCGCAGGGGGGCAGATACCGGTATGACTAGAGGAGGACGCGTTACACGTTCGGAAAACCTTTCTCTTCCGCCGTGTTCTCTCTGTCACCGCTTGTCATCTGCTTTCATTGTTAGGCTCTCACTCCCTTCCGTTACCGGTAGGTGCCACATCTCCCTAAGCGTGTCCCCTCCCTTCCCCGTACCTTCCCCACCTCCTCGTCCGTCTCTCCGCCTGCTTTCCCCATCCCTGTTCCTTATCTCCCCCGTACATCCCCCGCCGCACCTCAGCCGCTGGCTGGTTAACCCGTTACGTCTGCTGGGTGGCGTCGGGGGCGGCTCAAGCCGCAAGGTCTCCGGCTCCGGTGCCGCCTCCTCCTCCTCCGCTGCTGCCGCCTCCGGCCCTGCCTCGGAGAGCGGGGGTCCCAAGCAGGGCAGCCTGGGGGAGGAAAACCAGTTCTACTACGATGAGAAGCGCAAGCGCTGGGTGCTGCGAGGGCAGGAGGATGCGGTGGCGGAGGAGGAGAAGGCCGCGACGCCGCCCACTAGTCTGGGGGCCGGCTGGGTGGCTGCAGCGGCAGCAGCGGCAGGTGAGGGGAGTTCTGGGAGCAGGGGCGACGTGGCACGCTGCCGGTGCCTGGCTCTCCCCCATGTGTTGCCAGCACAAACCTGGGTTTCTTCCTTACCCCTCCCCTATCCCTCCCCTATCCCTTTCCCCGCACGCACGCAGGTTCCCAGTCGACTACCTCCCTCCTGACCACCACACCCCCCAGCAGCACCGCGGGAGGCATCGGAGGAGCGGGTCTGGCCAGTGGCAGCACGCCGACGCCGCCGCCCGGGTCATCGGGGGCCTTCAACTCCGTGGCCTCCTCCCCCACACCGCTCTTCCAGGTAGGCCGCAGCGCGATGGCGCCCAGCCTGCACTGCACTGCAGGCCTGTTGCTGTTGTTACCGGTATCGTGTGTGGGGTAACTCTCGCTCTTGTGAGGTGGCTCACATGGTAGCCAAGACAAGACCCTGCTCGGCTGCGACTGCTCCGCATGGTGTTTTCTTTGTGTGTAAAGCCCCCGCTGAGGCGCCTGGAGCACCGCCGCCCTGTCCATATCAAGCATGGTCGTCCGCCTACCTCATCCCGTCCTCACATGTTGTCGCCTTCACCACACCTCTACACCAATGACAATATCACCCCCGCGCCTTCACCCCCCCCCTCCTCCCCATCATCACATGTGCCCGCCATGCTGCCTCCTCCCCTCCCCTCCTCCCCTCCACCACAGCGCGGCCGGGGTCTCCACTCCCGCTACGTCAACACCTTCAGCACCAGCCCCTCGGGACCCGTCTCAGGTCTGGCGGGAGGGGGCATGGCAGGCCTGGCTGGCGCCGGCGGCAGCGTGAGCACCGGCGCCTTCGCCTCGCCACCGCCCTCGGGAGGCTTCTTTGTACCCCCGCCGCCGGCGCCTTTGGGAGAGGCAGCGGCGGCGGCAGGGGGCGCGGCGGCGCAGGTTGAGGGCGCTGGTGCTCCTCCTGCAGCTCCTGGTGCTCCCGAGGCCTACGGTGGCGGCAGTAGCGGCTTTGGATCCGGATTTGGAACGCTGGAACAAGCCAGCCATGGGCAAATGCAGATGCCACAACCGCAGCCCCAACAGCAGCAGGTGGAGCACCAACAGCAGCAGGCGCCCGACCAACAGCCCACTGGGCCACCTCAACCGCCGGCTGAGCAGCAGCAACAGCAGCAAGCAGCAGCTCCACCACAACAAGCTTACAGTCCGCTGCAGCAATCACAGCCGTACAACAACTACCACCAGCAACCGCAGCAGCAACCGCAGCAGGTGTACCAGCAGCATGTATCGTACGGCAGTCATGTTGGCGAGGTGTCGTACGGCGCTAGAAGTGCATCATCCACGGACGGCTGGGGGAGCCAGGTGCGTACCGGTCTACTGGTGTTATAGTATGATGGCCGGTTGGGAAGGTGATGACTTGCTTGTGCTCAGGCTGCTCGTTGTTGCTTTCGGCCGGGATATCACAGCCGTTGCACACCGGACTGGTGAAGGAGCCCGTTTGGGTCAGAACCTTCTGTGATCCTGTCCCTTGTACCGTAGCTAACCCTGTATGGTTGATTGGTTGGTTAAAAACTTGGTTGTCGTCCTCAGTCTTCAGTCATTATTGTACTACCGGTATGCTTGCGATGCTCACACTGCTGCCGTGTTGTGTGTGCACCTGCAACCTGCCGCCGCAGGGGGCTGCGGAGCCGGTGCAGCCCGCTGCTGCTCCCCCGCAGCAGCAGCAGCAGCACCAGCAGCAGCGGCTATCACAAGAGGGGCACCATCATCATCATCAGCAGCAGCAGCTGCAGCTGCCACCTCCTATGCAACATCATCCCCACCCTCAGCCTCTACCACCACCACCACAACCACCACCACAACCACCACCACCACCGGTGCCCCATGACTCCACGTACCAGCAGCATCAACACCAGCAGCACCAGCAGGGGCCCCAGCAGGGGCAGCGCGACCACCACCAAGAACAACAGCCCTATCAGCAGCAGCATCAACACCACTACCACCAGCAGCCCCATCCACCGCACCAGCTGCATGACGGTCACCACCACCTGCCAGTGCCGCCGCCGCTGCAGCCCCAGCAGCAGCCCCAGTCAGGGGGAGGTCCGCAAGGTCACCACCCCCCGCCACCGCTGCATCACCACCACCACCAGCACCACCACCCAGCAGTGCTGCCGCATGCCGCTGCAGCTGCGGCCCACAACCTGCCTCGCCCGCCGCTGCCCCCGCAGCACTCGCCGTCGCAGGGGTCACAGCAGCAGCAGGGGTCGCCGTCGCAGGGGTCGCAGCAGCAGCAGGGGTCGCAGCAGCAGCAGCAGGGGCCACGGCCGGAGGGCGTCTTTTCTCCGCCCCAGCCACCGCAGCAGCCTCCACAGCAGCAGCAGCAGTATGGTGCTCATGCGCCGCAGCACGTGTTGCCGCCGCAGCCGCCTTCTGCACCGCTGCAGCAGCGGCAGCAGCAGCTGCAGCGGCCTGAGCAGCCGCCCTCACCCCCTCCGCCTCCTACAGCCCAGCAGCAGCAGCAGCAGCAGTGGCAGGGGGAGCTGCATCATCCCTACAACCACCACCACAACCACCAACCGTTTGCCCAGCAGGAGACTGCAGCCGTCGTGTCGCAGTCACTGCAACCAACAGGCGCTGCACAGACCTCCCAGCCCGTGCCTGCGCCACCTCCTCCTCTTCCCCACATGCAACATCATGACCACCACCACCACCACCACCATCATCAGCCTCAATACCACCACCACCAACAGCAGCAGCAGCAGCAGCCCCAAGCGCCGTCTTCAGGTCATTTCCCGCACCTGACGGCAGCAGCAGTTGCGGCACCGCAACAACAGGCATCGCCGCCGTCGCAGCAGCCGTCTTTTTATGCTCCACAAGCTGCTTCACAACAACAGCACCAGCAGCTGCTTCAGCAGCCTCAGGCCTCCCTCCAGTCTTCAGTCCCGGCGGCCGTCCTCGGGGGAGGGCCTCCGCCCAACCTACCGCCGCCCAGCCCCCCATCCTCCTCCTCCCAACCAGTCCAGCAGCCACCTCCACCACCGCCATCATCATCGCCGCCGCCGACAGGACAGCAACAGCAGCTGCAGCAGCTGCAACAAGAATCATCAGCACCGGCAGTAGCACCACCGGCAGCAGTAGCAGCTCCCGCCTCTCAGGCCGCCGTGGTGATGACGTCATCACAGCCCTCCGTGGCAGCAGCCGTGGTAGACGATCTGCTAGGCAGCGGTGACGGAGCAGGCAGCTGCCCGTACGGCAGTGTCGGCATGTTTAATGGCGGTAGCAGCAGCGCTGTAGCGGCGGCGGCGGCGGCAGGTTCGGAGCTGCCGTACCATACACCGGCTATGCAGCAGCAGCAGCAGCCGCATGGACCGCAGCAGCAGCAGCTGCTGCCTCAACAGCAGCAACATGCGCCGCAGCAGCAGCACTACGCGTACGGGTACTATGCGGTTGGTGGTGGAGCCGGTGGTGAGGCTGGTGTTGCTCACGAGTACTCGTCGTTACAGGGAGTTGGTGGTTACGGTGGTTACTGTGGTAGTGTGGGTGTAGCTGCCTCTGCCGGCGGTTACATGAACACTAACAGTGGTAGCGGTACTGGGGACGGCAGTTACATGCATGGGGGCCACGGAGGAGGAGGGGCAGCGGGTGCCAGTTACGGTCTTGCGTATGGATCGTATGAGTACGGAAGTTCCTCGTACAGCTCGTACGGAAACGGAATGTACGGTGGCGGTGCGGTGTACGGCGGTGTGACATACAGTACTGGGCCTGCGGGTCCGCCTGTGGGTGGCGGTCGTGGTGGAGCTGCTGCAGGCGCTTCGGATGGCGAGGAGATGCGAGAGGTGGAATTGTGATGATGCTTATGTGCGGAGGGGCAGATGTGAAGGGGAAGCGAAGATGTTCACACGAAAGGTTAGAAGGAGAGAAGTTTAGTGGTGGGTCAAGCACTGAAGAGGAGTCGGGAACGGGGAGAAGTGGTACCGTATTAGTCACTGCTTGTGAAAGCTAGATGCATGCCGGAGGATGAAAGGATGTGGCCGTTTTAGGGTTTTCGCTTATTTTTATCCTTGGGCGTTCATGGATATGGGTAGGGATACGCTAACGCCGTGTCGACAGGTTACACACGGGTCGCCTGTATTGCCCGATGAAGACGTGTAGCTGCCTGGGAACTGGGTACCGGTAATTGGCTAGGCGACGAACGCTAGGCGTGTAAGACTTCGATTGCGTGCGCTTGTGTTCTCTTCAGTTTGCGGTGGGCTTATGCTGACTGCTCATCTGAGGACAAACATGCATGTACGGCATACGTGCTTTGGACGGCAGGTCCCCAAGCGAATAACGAGTCTTTTAATTAATTCGGCATATACGGAACCAGAAGAATAATGTCAATCGCATGCTATTGGAAGTTACTTTGGCTGTCTACCTAAGCTTATACAACCGCCCGCCTCCGCCTTAAGGTCTACCTCCCAAGCTTAAGGTTATGAGTATACAACATCGCTTACTTTAGCAAGGAGGCGTAGCTAAGGGTGCACTCGAGGGCTTTCGAAATGGACCCATTGTTGGACGCCCTAACTCTGTCCCCAGCGGCGCAGTTGTTTGAATTAGAACCTCCGCGCTACACGAGCTCTTATGGTGTGTGTGGACAGGAGTTCGGAATGTCTGCAACTTCTATGCTGGCCTTGCATGGCGACATCAAAAACGTTGCCTCGCAGGGCGAAGAACTGAGGCAATATTCAAGACGAGTGTGCCACCTGCACCTATGCTTATATCCCCGGATAACGGACTAGGTAAATCCGCGTTATCGCCTCGACGAGGCCTACAAGCTTACATGCCCTCACGCCTGCCAACGTCCCATCCTATCTCACCGCAGTCCTGTACGAGCGCGTTATTTCAACAAAAGCCGAACACCAGCTTTTGGACAAATTAACCAAACCGAAGGTACGGTCCGCGGCCTGAGCTGTTATGCATGTCTGATTCCACATCCCCGCCATGCCACTCTTCTTGCCCTCCCTTGCCCTTACCTTACCCACTTGCTCACAACCTTTCCCTTCCTCCTTGCAGTACTACCACCCCATTCCCAACATCCGAAAAGGTCTCGACCGCAAACCTTCCTCCATCCCAAATCACATCAGCCCATCAGGCAGCACCCCCGCCAGCTGCTCCTCCCGACCCCACAGCCCGGGCTCCCAGCGCCCCGGCTCCGCTCACTCCCACCCCCACTCCCACACCACCTTCACCGGAAGCAGCGCACAATCTGGCTCCAGAACCGCCTCTGCGGGCGGCTCCCTTAGCGCCAGCTCCGGGCCGCACCACGCTGCACACCGCAGCGTGTCGTCTAGCAGCGCCGGCGGGGCGGGGCCGGCCTCCTCAGGGGGTGGGGGTGCTGCTGGCGGCCGCGGGGGCCACCACCATGCGCAGAACCCCTACCATGTGCAGCTGATCGTGACGCAGTCGCACCACCGGAGTCGCAGTGTGTCACCCGCGACGCAGCCAATCCGGCGGAAGCCACTGTACCCGGAGGAGGGACCACTCAAGGTGGGTTGCGGAGCCGGGGCTGTGGCGGGTTGTGGTGTCCTCTCGTCTGCTACCCACATCCCAATGCAGCATTGTTCTGTCCTACTGGAAGGGTAGATGGTGACGTAATCGTGGGCTTTAGGGCGTGTAGGCCCCTCCTGTGCAGTCCCTCTCCGTCCTTGTGTATGTCTTCCCAATCAGTCAGTTCCTTCCACTCCGGCACTCTGTCCGCCCGCACCTCCACCTCTCGCCCTTTCAAACCCTTCCCAACTGCCTTGGGTGCCTTCCCACCCACTCGTTCTTTTATATCTTAGCTGCGCACGTCCCCTCCTCGCCTCGCCCCTTCTCCCAACACACTTGGGGGCACATACACACAGGATTACAGTCCTCGCGCCCTGCACTCCTACCACGCTCACAGGACTACTTTAGCAAGGAGCGAGCCTCGGTAACCGCCACAACGGTTTTCACGTGGGGTAACCGCTATAAGATCGGAGAGAGCAGCATCGGGCGGGTCATGAAGGGGTCGGGAGGAGGAGCTGCGGCGTCCCGGAGCAGCGGCGGCACCACCGAGCCCCTGGTGTTCACATCACACACACCGCTGCAACACAAACCGCCGCTACGGTTATAGCACGCGTTTCTTTGTGTGCCGGGTTGGTGTGCTGTGTGCTGGTCTTGTTGTGCTGTTGTGTCGTGTAAGGTTGTAGTAGTTGGTAATAGATACCGGTAAGTATAGTGGCGTTGCAACGTGTGGCGGCACGTGGCATATGGCTCGCGAATTGGATTGGATTGGTGGGTGACGAGTTCTCAATTCAGATTGGGGGGAGGGGTAAAGAGGAAACATCTAACTGACCGTGTGACCGGGGGAGGGGTGGTGGCTGGCGAGTTGTGCATGCTTTGCATTGGTAGGATGAGTTGTAGGATGGGGGCTTGTACGATGCATGTGTTTGGGATGTAGCATCGAATTGTGACTCGGACCAGACGGTTCCTTCCGCATGTATATCGGTATGGGATGCAGGACACTGACAGGAGGGCTGACGTTGCATTTGTCATGGGTGTTTCATGCTGCGGCAGGCCTGTGCGCATGTGCGCGCATCGAGGCACGGAGCCTACCGCCCTGGCTTGATGCCATAGGAATCCATGCGACGGCTTCCTTACCTGTTTACCTTCATGTTGCGAGGCAGTTGACATTCATGATGACGTTTTCCATGACGCACAATGCATACGCTGACCGGTTGTTTGGTCCCAATCCAACAATTCCGCATCGACTGCCCAGCAGATGGTGACCCTTCCAACACGGATTTATTCCTTGCGGCTGTTGTAGGTGATGTCGGCGAAGATTGGGAGGGTGTAGCGACGTAGACTGATGCCGGGGTGCAGTGATGGATGGTAGGGCGCGGACGCTAGTGGGTAGGTAGGTTTCGTTACGGACGGTTGGCGGTTTGCGGAAAAGGGACATGAAGGATGCTGAATGTGCATGTCAGGTTCTTTGCTGTCGCTGCTTCTGCTGCTGCTATTGTTTGCTAGCTCAAGGTGTATACTGCAGGGAGGCTGTATGTGCAGGAGCCTCCACCCAGGTAACGTCGGAGTGCATGACATAGGGCTGTGGGCCGGTCGTGTCCTCTTATTTCTTTTCTGTTTCTACTGCTGCTACTTCTTTAACACGGACAAGGTTAAGGAGGGGTCCTCCACTTTGCACACTAACAGCGCGTAAAGCTGCGTGCATTACGTCCGGGCATATGGGTTGGGCTTTGCAATGAAGCGCACTGTGCGTACCGTGTTGTCCTTCCATGCCAGGAGCCGCAGGGGGGGCGTTATAATACTTTCACACTTCCCCTTTGTTAACCACCACTTAGTGCGAACAGGCACGGCGTTAGTAACCGCCAAACGTGCCGTGCGAAAAAACACAGGCACGCATGTTTTCGCAACGTTGCTGGTGTACAGCGTATCTACTCAACCAAGTAACACAACAACAACAACGTACCGATAACCCAGGTAACAACAGCAATGCACGGTGTGAATGGCTGCTACGCTCCCGACGCACGCGCCAAGATGTCCTTCCCACGTCATTGCCGTGACGCAGGAAGTGCCCAGCAAGCCATGTTGGCCGTTGCCTTCGCGCCAACTGGTACAGTCAGCACCAACATGCCTGCGTCAGCACAACCGGTGGCCGCACCGCATTCACCCACAGCAGCAGCACTCTGCCCCAACACACCTATCCACATGCCAACACCCTCACACGCCGCCACCAATCACCTCACTATCAGGCCACCCAGCGGTGCAGCACCTCGCCAGTACGCGAGTTGCGAACCAGCGAGGGGGCGCCAACAGCAGCAGCAGCAATGGAGGGCCCCGGTGCCGCCCCTGCTGCAGCTGCTGCTGGTGTGCCCATCACCTCCCTCTGCCCCGCCGTTGTTCCAGCAGGCCCCTCCGTAACGCCCCCGCCACCACCACCGCCACCAGCAGTCCCGCCCGCCTGCTGGGGGGCTGCGGGCGCCTCCACGGCAGTAACGCCACGGCCCAGGGGGCTGCTGCTGCTGATGGTGCCGGTGGTGTTGGTGTTGGTGGCGGCGGTGGTAGTGGTGGGATGTTCAGGACTGCTGGTGCGTCCTTCCTGCCCCCGCTGCCGTCCTTGCTCGGCCGCTTCACGCTGCTGTACGGCAGCAGCAGCAGCCTCCCCTCCTGCTGCCCCTCCACCCCCGCCTGCAGTTGCGCTTGCAGGTGTTGCCCCCTTGTTGTCGTACAGCCTATCTTGCCGTACAGCCGCTACCGCCTCGTCCACTGAAGTCCCCTGGAGCAACTGGGAGGGGGAGAGGGAGGGGGGGAGAGGAGGAGTATCTAGGAGTATGTATAGGGGAGGGAAGGGAGAGAAGGGAAAGTTGGTGGTCGTCCCTCGTGCCATCCCGGCCTTACCCTGTCCTGTTTGCACGAGTAAATGAAACACACCCAAGACAAGTACACAACCCCCGCCTGGTCCTCCGCCCCCTTCTCACCCTCCTCCGCTCCACGCTCCCACTCCCGCCCACCCCTCATCCCTTCCTTCCTCTCCCCCCTCCCCCCCCCCCCCACCTTCTCCACCAGCGTTTCCTCCCCGCCCCCACTTTTGTCCCTCCCCCTCACCTTCTCCACCAGTCTACTCAGGTCCTGATGCAGCCTCCTCCCCGCCCCCTCCACCGCCCCACGCACCATGCCGCCCACCGCGGGACGAACCAGCGCGGGGATGCCTGGCAGGGGGAGGGGAAGGGGAGGGAAGGAAGGGGGTGGGAGGGAGTGGGAAGGGGAGGTTCAGAGAGAGAGGATTCAGGACAAGGCAGGGAAGGGCAGGGCATGAGGGGCATGGGTATCCGTTTGCAGGAAGGCGGCGAGTAATCGATTCGTCTCCTGCTGCCACTTGGGTTGCAAGTATGGGGAGGGCTGCAACAGCAGCAGCAGCAGCAGTGGGGGACCCATGCAGGGCTCACCCTTGGGCATCAGCCCCTGCTCCAATCTCACACAGCACCATTCCCGCCGACCCGCCACCGCCATCTCTCCCCGCCGCCGCTGCCCCTGCTCCTGCCGCCTCTGCTGCCGTTCGGAAGGAGCGGCAGCAGCAGCAGCAGCCGGCGCCCCGAGGGGAACTGGAGCAGCAGCGGCAGCGGTGGTCGGGGCTGGTGCGGGCACTGCTGCCGGCGCCGCTGCTGCCGGCGGTGACGGCGGCGGCGAGGGAGCGACCACATCCTCCCAGCCCTCGTCTCCCCTGTCAACAGCCGCTGCACCCGCTCCTGCTGCATCTGCTGCCTGCACTCCAAACCCTCCTACAGCGCCGCCGCCGCCGCCGCCGCCGCCGCCGCCGCCGCCCCAGCTCAGCACCTCCACCACTTCTCCTACCTCCACCTCGCTAGCCCCAGCAGCAGCGGCGGCAGCTCCGACCTCCTCCTCCTCCTCCTCCTCGGCCTCCGCATCCACAAACCCCCCGTCACTCCCCTCCTCGCTGCCGCCTGCTCCGGAACCCTCCTCCCCCTCCTCCCCCTCCTCCCCCTCACCCTGCTGCTGTGCACCCCGCGCAGCAGGGATGTGCGGCGGCACCTCAACCCCCTCATAATCCTCATCCTCGCCCGTACTGGTGCTGCTGTCGTACGTGGTTCCAGAATCCTCACCGCTACTGCTGCCGACACTCTCTTCACCCTCGCCACCACCCACATCACCCTCATCATCATCCGCCGTGACGGTCCAGCGGCCCTCAAAGCGTTCCAAAGTGTCCTGTGCGATGCGCGCGAGTGTGCTTCAAGTACGGCGTTGTAAGGGTTGCGTGTGTCAGGAGGACGACTGGCCGCCAGTCCGAACGTACTGTAATGTTTGGGCGTGCATGTAAAGGTATGAAGATACGGCAGAGACGACAGACAGGTACGGCAGAGTCAGACAGGTACGGCACAGAAGTGTCTGGCTAGCATACCATGATCCGTTGTGCACTATTACTCCCAATCATTCAGTGCTCGGAGCCTCCCCCCCTAACCTTTTAGACCCCAGACCCCAGCAGCAGCACCCCATGACTCACCCCATGCAGCAGTTTGAAGCTCTGCGTCATGACCCGTGGGTCGCTCGCGTCCTCCTCCAGCCGCACTCGCGATCGGAAGGTCTGGTGGCGCCACAGAATGGACAGCTCACCCACCTGCACTCGCAGCAGCGGCAGCGGCAGCGGCAGCAACGGGCGAAGAGGTGGGGAGTCTGGTTAAGAACGAACCATGTGAAACCACGTGAAACCGCGAATTGCTGGCTGGGATACGAATGCTATCATGCTTTGATGAATGAAACCATGGCTGGGGGAGCGCAGGTGGCGACGGTAGGAGAGTTAGCAAGTGTACGGCACATACCGTACGGCCACAGCACGGCCCACGAAAACATGTTGCATGCCCTTCCCTTCCCTTCAAGCGCACGTGTGCACCTGGGTTTCTTCAAACACACGCACGCCGCCACAGCCCCCGCCCCCGCCACCGCCACCATCGCCGCTCCCCGCCGACGTCGCCGCCGTCGTGATTTCCGTACGGTCACACACTTGTACGATGTCGCGAAAGGCGCGTGCCTTGTCTGTTGTTGTCAATTATGATGTCGTACAACACGTGCGTACGAGTAGGTTGGTAGGCGCCGTGTTAACCAGGAAGGACGGAGGTGTGAGGTGGTCATCACATGCATGCAAGAGTAGCCAAGATTACGACAAGTCAGACAGACCTTATTGCGGCGAGCATCTTCCTGGTCATTGCTGCAGGCATATGTATGTATTGCGACATGAAGTGGCTGAAGTGACCCATGGGTCACACGACACACATCCTACCCAAAACTGCCCACGTACGCAACACCAGCCCGCCCCCCGCTCCCCCTTCCCTCCTCCCCATGCCTACTCCCCAGGGGCAACATAGGGTAGACAGGCAGCACTCAACCCGCCCGAACCTGTGGCTTTGGTACACATATATATCTCTGACCGTCCCCCTCCCCCTCCTCCCAACCCCGTCTCCCCCCCACCCCCCACCCACCGGGATGGGTCAGCAGGCCGAACAGCGCTGCAGGCGCCACGGGGAACCGCGCATTCAGCTCCATACTTGCCATCAGACCCGACCCGCGCGACCCAGGGGTCACTCGCACGATGGGTGGCGGAATGCGAGGAGTCGCCATTGACGAGGCGGGTGGTGCGCCGCCACGACGGCTGCGGCGAGGCAGGCCGCCGCCAGAGGCATGGCGAGCGCTGCTGCGGGGGCTGGTGGTACTGCTGCTGCCGCCGCCGTCAGTGGTGGTGGTGTTGGTGGTGGTGGTATGGGTGTTGGGGTTGGTGGCGGTGTCGGGAGCGTGGGCACCAGCAGTGCTGTACGGCTGGCTGGTGGCTGCTGTTTCCACTTCACCGGAGGACGAAGGCACCGGTAGAGGGGGCGAGGAGGCGGGGGGCTGCGAAGATGAAGGTGAAGATGAAGATGGCGGTGACGGCGGCGGAGAAGGGGCAGCAGCTGGAAGGTGATGATGAGGTCCCGATGGCGGCGGTGCCAGCAGCGGCGATGGCGGTGCTGGCGGCGCCGGTGCTGCTGATGGGTGGTCGGAATGCTGTTGGGATGCGGGGTGACGGGATGCGGTTGCTGCGGCCGACCTTGGCATGTCGCCGTCGGCCATGTCAGCGGATGATGACGGCGGTCGCGTTCTCCCCGAGTTGCTGCTGCCGCTATGCTGCTGCTGTGCTTGCTCTCGGTATGTTGCTGCTGGTGCTGCTGTTGGCGTGGTGGTGGCGGTGTTGTTGATGTTGTTATCTTTGTTAGAGATTGTTTCTACTGCTGCGGGTGGGTTGGAGGCATCAGCAGCAACAGCAGCAGTCGGAGCAGCAGCAGCAGAATGCGCGGAACCCATGTCACGGCGGCTGTTGCCACTAGTACGCAGCATAGCAGTTAAAGCGGGCGTCTATTTACGGTAGTTGCGGTTTATATACGTCTTAAACATGTAATACGTGGTAAGCAAGGAGGCAGGAAGCCGTCCAAGTATATACCGCACAGCGCACACGTTCTTTCTGCTCAGCAGTTACATGTTGCATTAGGTGGGCAGTTCTATGGAGGTGGCAGCGACGGCACAAATGGGTCACCATGATGATGGTGATGATGCTGACGGTGAAAAGAAAACAGCTGACCTGGTGTTGCTGACCTGGCCCTGGTGGTGGTGATGTCAATTCCTGCTGCCAGTAATGGTGATGTTATGGCGAC